TGCAGGGTGGGATTTTATTTAATTGGTAAAGTTTTTATTCAGATTGAAATCGGTGCCGGAGATACTGTATTGTCTTAATTGCTTTTCAATGGTGACTGTCTAGTCTAGACTTCAGATGTTCATAAATATTGATTGGGTTTCATAGATTTTTCTGTCCAAATGTCATTTGCCTTTTTGAAAACAAACCCCCAGTGAACCTTAATAAGTGTTTCATGCTAGTTATGTTTTAGACTCATTTGTACAACCGCTACACCACATCACAGTACCCAGAGCTGATATACCCATATGCAGTTTGGAAATAATCTGAGTAATATCTGTACACATACATTGATATTACATGTCTAAATCTCTGGCAACATAATCATATGCAGTCTGAATTTATCAATGTGATTTTCAAATTATTTAAAAACTTTATATGCAAGGGCAGATTTTAAAAATTAAATATGTAATATTTTTTTTAATTTTAAATATATTTAAACATTTAATTCTAGTTACATTATTGCTTTCTGTTACGTGTTTCAGCTTCCAAATCACTAATCAACATGTTTGAAAACATGTATTATTATTATGTTAGTATTGAAAAACACGTGTTAAATTAAATTTTTATTTATTTCTGACGAACCATTTTAATAATCATCCACATATATTTCCTTTTAACTTTCTTTATTTAACATTTTATTCGTTAGAATTAAGAATGTTTTAACAAAATCCGTATTTATATTCAAGTCTTACATTATTTTTGTGTTTTTAAGTTTTCTGTATTACATGTTTTCGCAATTTACTGAACAGATTAAAACAACAGTGGGATTTCTTCGAATATAATTCTTACAGAATAACATAACGTTTTCTGCAAATAAACTCCGTTACTTCGTCAAGGAAACTATTAAGGGAACGCATACACCACCGGCAGTCTCTTCTGAACCTCATTTGCCTTTGTTCCCATATCACTGCGTGGCAGCATTACTAACTCTCCAAGTTGGGAGGAAGTTGATAAACATCCGTTTTAATTCCACATTTCAAGAGAATACATTCGTGATTCCCCATCCTCGGCATGTCCCCTGTGTCTTGTGCTCCGGATTTCGGTGAAAGTTCCTACATTTTCCTACACTAGAGAAATGCATTTCCTTTCCCCAACCCTACCCTCATTCAAATTATGTGGTAATTAATCACTTGGCAAGCCACCCCCCCCCTGCACCCGTTAATGAATCGACTCTTTCTCACCTGCTTTCCAGGAAAGGGAAGATCCTTCGACCCGGTTGATCATTAAGCAATGTGACACTTGCAGGGTGATATTTTTTGGTTGGGACGGCATTTAATTGGTGAAGTTTTTATTCGAGCTGAAATATGTGCCGGAGATACTGTATTGTCTTAATTGGATTTCAATGGCCACTGTATAGACTCAAGATGTTCATAATATTGATTGGGTTTCTCAGATTTTTCTTTACAGGTTTCATTTGCATTTTTTAAAACTTACTTACTCTGAACCTTAATGAGTACTTCATGTTAGTTTTGCTTTAGACTCATTTGTACTACCTCTACACAACATCAGTATTGAGAATTGATATACTCATCTGCATTTTGGAAATAATCTGGGAAATATCTGTACACATACATTGATATTACACGTCTAAATTTCTGGCAACATGAACATATGCACTCTTCAGAGTGCATATGTTTATGTTGCCAGTATGAGTGCAATGTAATTTTAAATTAAAATTTTCCTTCTTATATAAAATTTAAAAATAAAAATGATATATGGCATATATTTTTTATTTTAAATGTAATTAAACATTCCTTACAGATTGCTTGATTGCATTTTGTTATATTTCATAATTTCATCAAGAATATTCAAGTTTGAAAACTTATTAAATTATTATGTTAATATTAAAAAACACGATGAAAAACACTTTTAAATTAATTTCTTAATTTCCGACAGACCAATTTAATAATCATCAGCTTATATTTGTGTTTAATTTCCTTTATGTAACATTTTATTTTATAGTCTTAAGAATGTTTTATCAAAATCCGCATTGATATTCAAGTATTACTTTATCTTTGTGTTTTTATTCTTTCCGAATTCATGTTTTCGCAATTTACTAAACAGATTACAACAACAGCGGAATTTCTTTGTCTAGAATTCTTACAAAATAACTTTCTGTTTTCTGCGAATAAACTCCTTTATTTCGTCAAGGAAAATATTAAGGGAACGCATATACCACCAGCAGCAGTCTCTCCGGAACCTCATCTGCGTTTGTTTCCACATTAATCTGTCACAGCACCACTAAATCTCCAAGTTGGAGGAAGTTGATAAACATTCGTTTTAATTCCACATTTCAAGAGAATACATTCGTGATTCCCCATCCTCGGCATGTCCCCTGTGTCATGTGCTCGGGATTTTGGATAAAATTCCTACATTTTCCTATACGGGAAAGATGCATTTTTTTCCCCAATCTACCCTCATTCAAATTCTTGGTAATTAATCACTTGGCATGGTCCCCCCCGCTGCACCCGCTAATGAATCGACTCTTTCTCACCTGCTTTTCAGGAAATGGAAGATCCTTCGACCCGGTTGATCATTAAGCAATGTGGCACTTGCGGGGTGATACTTTTTTATTGGGATGGCATTTAATTGGTGTGTTATCTGGAGTGTTTGTCCGAGCTGGAATCTGCCGGCGTTACTGTATTGTCTTAATTGGTTTTCAATGGCGACTGTCTAGACTTCAGATGTTCATAAATATTGATTGGGTTTCTTAGATTTTTATTTAAAATCTTCATTTGCCCTTTTGAAAACCAACCCAAACTGAACCTTAATGAGTAATTGATGATGGTTATCTTTTAGATTTATTGTATTTGTACTACTTTGAATTTGTACTACCGTTACATCACATCACAGTAACAATGGCTGACATGTCCATCTTCAGTTTGGAAATAATGTGTGTAATATCGTGTACACGTTCATAGACGGTCGCAAGATTATAGAGTTTATTAAAGTCAAGATATTAGAAAGAAGGAATTTATGTTCAAATTTCTTTTACGTTATTGAAAACTAACCCACACTAAACCTTAATGGATATTTCATGGTTATGCTTAGACTTATTTGTACTACCGGCACACCACATAACAGTACCTAGAGCTGATATACCCATCTGCAGTTCTGAAATAATGTGGGTAATGTCGTGTACACATACATTGAAGGTGTCAAGAATGTAGAGCTTATTTAAGTCAAGAGATTAGAAAGACTGTGAAGGGTGAATGTTGCCGCAATTATCTGAATAGAGATATTGAAAATAAGACTCAGGGATAATAAAATATTATAAAATATATGACATTAGCGCGAGATTTAAGAATATAAAAAAAAATTCATTATTTACTTTTTATGTTTTCTTGACTGAAATATGATGATACGAACCTGTTGACCTGACTGATCATTAGACAATTAATTAATTTTATCATACAACTTATTCATTCATTTCGAAGTATAATTTTTATCGTGATGCTCGATGATTAAATATCTATATTTAAAAATAATGCAAAATATAAGAATTAAAACTATATGACCTGACCAGGAATTTAAATATCGTAATAAATTAAGATAAATTTATTAATGTAAACGAAAACGAAGAGCTAAGCTGATGAAATCATGATATTAAAAAATTTTTAATACGAAATTTAAATGTAAAATAAATAATTTCTCACTAAATTTTCTCTAATTTAAAATTGCAAGGAGATACTACGAATATTATCGAAAATATTCTATTGAGAAAAATAATTTTTAAACTTGAATTTTCTTTAAAAAATTTAAGCTCAAATGTAATTAAAATAAAAACAGTAACAAAACTAAACCATTGACATGAAGTTTTGGTTATTTTTAACAAAACATTGTGGTTTTTTTTTAACTTTTTATGTTCAAAAACCGAATACAAAATCTCAAAATCAGATTTAATGTTCTGAAAAAATAATTAAAGCAGTAAAGTCAACATATTTCTTTATGCAAATTGGTTCCAAGTTTATTGAGTTTATATACTACGTAAAATGTTTTCTTTTATAAGATCTTTTTTATTTATTTATTCTTATCATAAAAGTATTCCTTACCTACTGTTTGGAATTTCAGCGTTTTGAAAATTCACGACCGACACAAGTTTACTTCCTATGAAACCAGAGAAGTTTTCATTCTTTTATTTTCAAAAAAAATATTTCGTATTCCCTGGAACATTGAAAGTTTATTCCACGTTTTTGGACTGTCTCAAATAAAAAAAAAAAATATATATCGAGCATACATCCATAGAAATGGAAAATTAAAAGAGCGGAGGTTTTCTCTTCTTTTTTATATTTACCTTTTTTTTCTGTGTACATAGTTGGGGTTGGGTAAATTTATAAATTCATAATATTATTCTAGTTTTCACCCACAAATTTGGATTGAAGGATGGGAAACGAGAGGATTCTTGAAGTAATTGAAACTGCTACATAAAATTATGATTGATGCTACTGATTATCTTTTGTGTTGTGTGTGTGGAATTAATCAGATTTAGGAAGGATAAAAAATTTGTACACGATCAACAAAAATAAAATATCTGATTGAATATCTTTCATGGAATAATAGGTTAGAGTAGAATAATTTTTGTTTCTTCTGTAGTATAATTTATTCTAGATATACTTCATGAAATATTTCGTTTCAAGAATATCGTTAACTACTTAAGAAAATATGCTTCTAATATATTGCCGCAGGTTTCGGGTTCTCCAATTGCAGCTGTACTATGGATGTTTTTAGTGATTCGTAATCCACTTTAAATTGTAAGAACTCGGTCTAATATGATTGAAGAGCATTGGATGTATTGCTAACATACCTATCCTGTAAAAAGAAACTCTCTTCTATCTCGAAATCTGCCCGTAGTCAAACGGCCTTGGTCCATCATGGGGCTGATGCGCCATTGAAGATGAAGAAAAAACAATATATTAGTTGAGTAAGCTAATCAGACATTCTGTCTTTTATCTCTGTACACATCACCGAAGTCAAGCATCATTGGGCGCGGTCAGTACTTGGGTGGGTGACCACCTGGGAACACTGCGTGCCGTTGGCAAATTTGGGACCTGAATGACCGAGTGTCTAGCGCTCTGGCGCTTGGTGCCACAGGTTTCGGGTTCGAATCCCGGCGGTGCCATGAATGTTTGTAGTGGTTCGGAATCCACTTTAAACCGTAGGTCCCGGTCTTCTATGACTGTAAGAGCGTCACGGAGCAAAAGTCAGGCTTCTACCTACGGGTGCTCCATCACAACAGAAGCTGCTCCCTTCCCCTTCAATCATGAGTCCATATGGGCTCGTGGGCTTGGCCAGCCAAGTGGGATAAGAAACAACAACAACAACACATTTACAGAAATATACCGCATATCGCGTAAACAAAAAAATATTTAGATAATTGTAAAGACATGATACTACACTATATATATATATATATATATATATATATATATATATATATATAAACATTGAAGGTGTACCTTTTAATCTTTTAATTTCAATCGCACCTACACCAATATCTAAACAACAGATTTTTTACAATATCTACCATTTCTTAACGACAAATGAAATGTTATGCAATTAATAAATATTTTTATAATGTTATTAATATGCATCTTCATTATCTTAGCTTATTCTTATTATCATTTTTAAATTGGGGTTTATAATTCAATCGAATGTCTGTTAAATAATTCAATTGTGCATTAATTAAATAATTTAGTTATCAAAATTGTGCATTAACTGCTTTTTTTTAATATGTCATCATACCAAATCCTAAAGATTCAATACTAAAACTTCATTAACCACATAGATTAAATACTCAGGACGCAACGAGCCAATCAAAAATCTATTTTTCTTTCCACCATTTCGCTCAGCGGCCCGATGACCAATTGACTAGCGCTCTGGTCGTTGGTACCATAGCCTTCAGGTTCGAATCCTGGCGGTGGCAGGAATATTTGTGAGTGGTTCAGAATCCATGTTAAACTGTAGGGTCCGGTCTAATTAGCCTAAAGTGTGTACAAAATGACCGCAGAGCGACAAACCAAGTCTCTATTCTTCATAATATCAAATCATGAGCACTAGTGTTCGAAGTATTAAATAATAATTCATTTTGATTTGTTTTATGTTAAGGAAAATAAATGTTCGCATTTTTAATGCTCACTTTTAATAACAAACTAAACTAAACCAAACCATCATTTCGGGCATCTCATTCAACCTTTCATCAAACATAATGATATATTCCTGCAAAACAGGAGAAAGAGGCTTCTTTAAAATAGCAAGCCTAAAGTCGAACTGTACAGCCGAAAAGTGTAGTTTCAAAATATATTGTGTCGTTGTTGCTTATCCCCTTGATTTAGAATCCTAAACCAAGTCCAGTAAATCATGCTGCATCAATAGATCGTAAACTGTCCTCCCCTCATTCAACAGTTGCCTCACAGAGGCACCAATACAATCTATGAGATGAGAGGGAGATGCGATGGTCGAACAATGACAAAGGGCATATGTCTTCTCGTCTCCATTGAAGGTCAAACTCTTAATGTGGCCAGTCCTTAGTCTAGCTAAAGCCGTCTGAGCAGGTCTAGGACAGGAGCACTGTATGGACATACCAGGATATTTAGCGGCGTACCATGCATGAATTGGTGGCGACCTCCAAGAGGTATTCACTCTGGCTAAAGTCATGGAATGAACATCTGAAGCTAACAGATTGGAAGAAGAAGCTTTGGGAAGTTCGCAACCTTCCCTAGCGAGCAAATCAGCAATTTCATTTCCGTAGATGCCCACATGGGAGGGAATCCACTGCAAGCACACCGATCCGATCTGGTCCAAAACAGCTAGTTTGGAAACTATATCCTGCCCCAATTTGTCCAAGATGCTTGGCCAATTTTTCAAATACTGTATTGAGCTCTTACTATCAGTCAGAATCCAAACATCAGGTACTTTAAAGTCTAAAGCTAGATTCAGAGCTTCGCTTATAGCAGTTAATTCTGAGCGGAATACTGAGCTGTGGTCCGGGTTTCTAAAACGATATCTAAATTCTCCTGTACTTGTCTTCATAAAAATTCCGCTACCTGTTCTTCCAGAGTCAGTATATATTGTAAACAGCATCAACGAAAAAATCTTTCATCTTGTATTTCTTTACGTTCCATTTTTCAAGATGCACCCAGTTGAAAGATGTTTCCCCACCATATAACTGAAATTTCGGAACGTAAAACTCCAGCAAATCGGAAACCTACTTTTGACTTAAATTGCATCTAACTCTTGACGTCAGACTTCTGAAAAGACGACTCTTCAACCTGGATTAGATCTGTTTTTTTTTTTTTTTTTTTTTGGAGGCCGGAAAATTTAACTGGCGTAAACGGCATCGGCTATAAAAAAAAAAAGAAACCAGTTCTTTCTTTTCTTCCTTTTCAATTTTTAGTTATTGGGTGAAAAGATTTTGGATTTATTTCCAACATGACTTACACCGAAAAACTTTAAACTTTCTAAATGTGCAGTACCATGAATTTAGATTTCCCTTTGGTTCAATAATGGAACAATCTTGGTTTCAACAATTTTAGTTCAACAATGGAACAATCTTGGTTTCAACAATTTGGGTTCAACAGTGGAACAATCTTGCTTTCAAAAATTTTGGAACAGTGGAAGAATCTTGGTTTCAACAATATTGGTTCAACAAGTTTTCACATGTTTCCAATTTACCACAGTTTAGCGTGAACTAAAATAATAAATCACCAAATTCTTTGAGTCAAATAAATGTCGCGTCACATTTTTTAAAATAAAAGGAATCAACGAAACATCACATATGCCCTTCATGTTCTATTTTTTTTTGTCCATCTGTTACTGAAAGCATTAATTTCTTCTAACATGAATCGAATGAACAAATTTTGGTTTCGATGAAACAAATACTCTGATACTATTATAAACTGCATGCAAATAGTTTTTCTTTAGCCCCATAGTGTGCCAAAACTTTCTGCCTATTGGCAGAATTCGAGACAGGCGATGTTTTATATTTTTATGGAGTTGTGTTATCAGCCCTATGCTCAATGTAAATAGTTAGATTTAGAAAAAAAAAATATTTTGCAAAAAAAAGTAATAAGACTGGAATTAATCATCCGCTTATATGTTGTTTTTCTTCAGTTAACTTTTCCTTAATGTTACTCTTTGACTCAACCAAAAACACATACTACAGTATCTGCTCATGCTCCAATTCCGTCTCCTAGGATCTTCTATTTGTGATTTATTTTTTTATTTAACTCTAGTCTTTGTGTGTCTTTTGACGTCAATGGATCTTCCGTTTCATCATCTATGTGTGGACTTTCTTTTTTCTACCGTAGAGCTTGGAAGAAATGATTGTGTTGTGAGGTACCCACGAGGGACCTCTGTCCTTGGGGAAGCGGCAGACTTTGACACCATTAGCTTGCTCCACTAATCAAGCGTGGTAATGCCTCTCTATTGATCGCTGAAAGGATTGCCAGTGGTCACACCCCCCTGCCTCAAAAATATGGTTCCATACCTCCCTGATAATGACCACCGTGGCTAAATAGGAAACCTAGAAATAGTCGAAGAGCTTTTTCTTCTTTGAAGAAAAAGTGCTGTGGCAAATAGTTTGATGCTTCATTTAACGGAATGATGTCTCCCGATATTTGTTCAGTGGTTTTATATTGAATCCTCTTTACCATTATGCATATGTATGTTGGGTAAATACGCAGTTTAAATAAAGTGGTTTATTTTTTAATCATGATTTATTTTCGCTTTTAGATATTTTTTTAATAAATTTATTGACTCTTGTAATATCATGATCTCAAACTAAAAATCTTCCCCTGCTCAGCGGTTATGTATTGGTTGGTATTTATGACCTTTCAAACGATCAAAAATAAATTCAATCATTTTAAATACGCGAATTAATGATGAGTTCATAAATCATTGCATTCGTTATGCGCACATCTAATAGTATCTAAGTATATCTAATAGTATCTTTTGAATTTAATAGTGTTTAAGATGTATTTTTTTAATTCATAGAATGATATGAAATTATACCTTACCATTTCTTTACATGTTGCATTTTTACTACATTTATAAGGTACACAATTAAATTCGGGGGAAATTTTATTTTTTAGTTATTGAAATGCTTTATCTCTGTACAATATTTGGATGGAATACATCTAAAAACTTAGGATTTCACATAAAAAAAATTTCATTACTATTTTTTTAAAATTTTTTATGTTAAAATAAAATATTTGTAATAATTATTAAAAAATCCCATTTTTGTAATTATTCTAAAATTATGTGTGTATATTAAACTGATTATTAAAAAATAAAAAAAATAATAAAATTAAAAATTGTAGCGTGTAGGTTGATAAACTGGATTGTAACTATTTAATATTTTGTATTTGTTCAAATGTTGTTGACAACTTCCAAAATTTCTACTACGCTGTTGCCAGTGAACAATTAAAATAAAAGCATGGTGTAGCTAAAATAAAGTTTAATAAAATTTAAAAAAAATGTAATGAAATTATACTTCATTATTAAAACGTCTTTATATAATTTTATACTTTAAAATTTGTATGAAAATTGCAAATTGTGATAATTAAAAAAAAAAAACCCTTTTTTCTTTTAAAGTGTTTCTGTGTTAGAAATATCATTATGTAAGTAGTACACTTTTTTCAAATTTACATCTTAATTAGTTAAACATTTCTCTATGTTTAAATTTTGTCGACACAAGGTTTTTTTTTAACTATACAAATTCTTAGTATAACAACTAAATAAAAATAATTGACGAATTTAGGATAATTTACAAGGTATTTCCTTTTATATATATCAAGAAACAAGAAAAGTTATGAAATTTATATTTTTTCTAAAAAAGGTTTTAATTATTTTTAGTATAAAAGATATTACAAAACAAATCAATAAAGTTAATTATTATAAAGGTTAACATAATGAATTAGTATACTTGTATTTGTGAATATAAAAATGTTTAAAAAATACTTTACTTAAGATCAAACAGTGCTGTGCATCCCAATTAATAATATTTTAATTCGTGGCATCATGGCACCATCGCCCCA